TTTCTTTGAGGTAGAGAGTGAAATGGTCTCGTCACCCTGAAAACGGGACGGGGAAGGAACATGCAGAAGAAAAACCAACTATATTCAGGTGACAGCAAAGACTCTATTCAAATGTCTCCAATTCCAGCATTCCCAAATGTAGAGAAAGCTCAGCTCCAGATGCCAACTTTGAAGCTGACCTGCACTCCACCTAACCCAGCTGAGCCCAGAAAAGGAGATGCTAGTTTAGGGCCAGAGGTCTTGCACTTCATCCCTGATGCCCCTTTCTGGTTGAATGTCTCCAAAACTCATAACGGAGATTCTGGGCTCTCTAACACAAATCCTTACTCCACCTTTTCCTACATGATTTTAGTGTGGAAGCATATGGAGTTAAACAGCTATTTACTGTATTGCTGTAGCCCCTGGGAGTCACAGCCATGGACAAGGTGTACAAATCCTTGTCCTGGTCCCACATTGAGTACTTCAGAAACCTTGCCTGAAAGTTTCAAAAGGGACTGAGAAGACAAACTTCCCTCTGCTTCTTGGAAAACCCCAGTCCTTGCCCCTGCATGGCAACTATCTAGGCACCTGACATTCATGGAGCAGATTTAAAGTTCACTGAAGTATCACAAGGGCAAAGGCAGAGTGAACACTGCCAGCTCTGCTGTGCTTGGCAGCGTGTTGGAAGTCAAGCCCAATGCCAACCACCAAGACAGCATGTTGATGTGCACCTCACAGCCTCAATCAACTTGACTGTGAAGCGCGAGCCCTGGAAAACTACAGAAAATAGCTCCGCTGAGCCAACTGAGCGTTACCTTTTGGCAAGTTTGGGAGCCGCTGAAAAAAACTGTAACATTTCCAAAGGCAATAACAGTGTCAGGCTTGCTCTTTGAACGTGACACTTTATCATATGTGAGGTGTTTTTGAGGACTGACTTGTTACAAACGCATCGGAGGGAAAGGAAGAAGACATGAAATCCAACAGTGGCCCTCAATTTTTTTCATGCAACTTTAAGCTTCCATGGGTGAGAGATTCAGATTGCTGAATGACACAAAGACCTGGACCATCTTAGCAATCAGGGTGGTCAACCTGAGTGGCACATGTGTCACGAGTGGCATGGCAGCTTGTGTGTGGGGCCTGGGGCAGATCAGGGAAGGAAAAGGCCGTACAGTGGGAGACAAAGCAAGAAGCAGAAAGCAGAACAGCAGGTCTAGCAGGATGCACAGGGCAAGACGCAGAAAGCAGAGCAGCAAACGAGGCAGGGAAGCAGATCAGACTGGCACTCAGAGAAGTCATGGGGCTAATTTGTAGTACACCTGCCAAAAAAGCTGGTACTTCCATGTTTCTTTCTACCCTTTGTCGGTCTTATCCAAATCGACTGTCTTCGTGTGCGTGCATGTATAGAGTATCTGTACACAGTGAGGGCCTGATCTCACCTGAGATCTCCAGGTATTACTGTACTGCAAACCCCTACATGCCAGAGCCAAATGCTCCCCTGATTTATGTGGGCATAAACCTGGAATGACTCCACTGGCTTTAGTAGATTATGATAGGTTTACATCGGTGCAATATCAGAAATCTGGCCCTAGGCCTTAATTTTTGATGATTTAAGTCACCGAGAGCTTGACGGTGAAATAAAGGATGTCTCCTCCTCCTGTTCCTGTGTGCCACTTGGCTCAGTGACTGCCTGTTCTCATGTTTGCTGCTGCCTCTCTCTCTCTGGCTCCAGATCAAAACAGGTCCCAAACTGACTTGACCTCTGAAAAGCTCCAACTTTGCCACCACTGGCAGTGCCTGCGCTCTTCTGTTTGTTTGATTTTCCAGTTTTCAGGGCTTTTATTTTCAGTACAACTGAGCGTGGGCTGTTTTCACAGAGCACTACCATGCTCCAAAGGGGGCTGCAATTTCTTACACATCTAGCTCCAGTATCAACCTCAGGCGTATATATTGGGGCATGGTATTAACATCCCTGATTAACCTCAACCTCAAACAACATGATCAAAGTAAGTTTGGCCCACAGCAATTTCGAAAATTAAACAAAATTCAAGAAGGAGGTTTATCCAAGAGATGGGCTTGGGACTCCGGAAGTACTAGTTCAGTTCCCTGCTCTGCCACTGGTAAATCATTATATGTCTCCCATAAAATAGGAAAATTATTAATGGCCCCATTGGGAATATTTTTCTGATGATTCACCCAGTGCATGGTGAGAAGTCCAGCAGTGTGCTGGCATTTTCTGGTCACTTGATCTTCAAACTCAGCAAAATGAAAACAAAAATTAGCACTGCTGTGGACACCACGCCTAAGTGAAAGGTCACTTTGGCACATATACAAATTCCTTATGTAAGCAGGAGCTGGATCTTTCTGTTGGGAGCTTTGCTAAGCACACAGAATTCATTCCTTTGCTTCTTTTCTGTCTGCAAAAATAGCCCAGTTTGTTTCAGCAGTAAATGCTGGTATGGATACAGGGAAAAGCAACAAAGGAGATGATGGGTGAGGGCTTTAACTAAACTATAGCTTGGTCTTTGAGCAAGTACCACACAGGTTTGCCTTTCAGGCTGATCAGCTTGAGCACGGAACGACACACAGCTATTACATTAAGCGTGGGGTTTGCAAAAGCACTTTGGAGGGCCCTAATGCTGATCCCATTGTAATCATTAGGCCTCCCATTGGACTTCAACTGAAGCACAGTGGGCAACGAGACGGGTCAACACTGACTGCTTCTGCAATTCCCACCCTAAGCAGCAAATTGGTTAAGCAGGCATAAGCAACAAATCAGCAAAAATGGCTGTGGGTCACAGTGGAGAGAGGTCACAAGTGTAATACCTTGGGTCAGTGCCGGGGATGTTGCTTTTCAATTTGTTTTTAAACAACTTAAAGCATAGCTGTGCTTGTGGAGCAATAAAACATGCTGATGCAAACAAAAGTGGATATGTCATTAGTACAAAGAAGGTTAATAGGATTCTAGGCTACAACATAAGGTGCATTATAAAAGCAAGACAAGGAAAATAATGCCACTGTATTCATTCACGGGGGGGGACCCCTACCTGAATACCATATCCAGTGGCTGTCATTGAGACAAATTCTGAAGAAAATCCAGAAGAAAGCTGATGAACGTTACAGATCAAGATTAACAGTACATACAGTCTTTGCCACAGTAATTGGAAGAAAGCAAGCCGAAAGTTTGGAGAAGAGGAAGTTACAGGGGACCTGGAAATCAGTTTATGCCACATGCTGGAGATACCAAAAGAGAAATGGTGTCGTATTGCAGGATGCCGAGGACACTGCATGAAACTCTGAAGATGCGTGAACATCGTGAGCGACCCTGCTGCGGCAAAGTATTTCAGGAAGTGTTTGAAGTTGGGCATATCGTTAACATTTTTGGCAAGTCAGGGGCAAAGTCATGACTGAGGTTTTTCTTCAGAGGGTAATCAGTATTTAGGAATTTCAGCTCACCAACCAAAATTAATGCATCAGTAGTTGCAGTACATGATCAATTAAGTAATAGTTTCATAGTAGGTAGGGTCAGAGGGACCTGAGCAGATCATCAAGTCTGGTCCCCTGCCATGGGCAGGAAAGGATGCTGGGGTCAAACGACCCCGGCTAGGTGACTGTCTAGCCTCCTTTTGAAGACCCCCAGGGTAGGAGTAAGGACCAATACTTCAATTGTATTGATACACTCACTCTGCACACCAAATGGAATCAGTTGCCTGGATACATTGACCTCTTTTTTGTCTTCTTCCAGACCATCAGGGATCTTGCTCTAAAAATCAGTCTCTACAGGGAAGCAGCCATTGTCCTATTTTCAGTCCTATAGGACAGGAAAAGCCTGAGGTTTGCCATAGCCATTAAAGTTCAGATCCAGATCCAGACTCACCCAGATTTGGAGGATATTTGGATGCAACCCATTTAAAATAAAGCGGGCAAGTGGCTTCACTGACGCTACCTGGATTTATCCCGGCCACAGATCCAGCAAAAGAATTAACAGATGCAGAGGTCAAATGTAGATCTGAAGGCACTTGAAACTCAGGGATGTTTGCCTCTAACATCCAGGGTTGGTTTCTCAGCTCTGGAGTTTATTTTGTGGTTTGAGGCTCCAGATAGTTATTTTTCCTCTTGATCTAAAAGAGCAGATGCTCTCTCTTTAAAAAATGCTCCACGTGAAGCCTGACTACGACCAATCACCCATATTGGCAAACAGGTCCCATTATCCTTCTCCTTAAAAAGATAATGACCTTCCTAAAGATAGCACTGATTTCAAGTGTTAACATTTTTCACATTACCCAGTTGCAACAAAAAATATGCCAGTGCCGTGTGAATATAGACACTCTTGGGACTAAGCATTAAGCAGACTTTCACAAGGTAGCATAGATGCAAACAGATGGACAAACCCTAGTTTTTCAGCTGTGACGTTCCATGGGGTTTCCTTTCGCCAATTTGATCGTCTCTGAGGAAAGTAAGCTTCACACCTGATGCATCTGTGCTCAAAGACCCCCCGCCTCTAAAATGACTTTTCTGAGTGTTATTGGAAACAACAACATTAAGATAATGGCAAGACTGACAGTGAGAAATGCACAGGGGAGGCAAAATAAATGAAATCAATTAGTATCATAAATACAGGCTGAGTGTCTCGTGTCTTACATGTCAATTATTTATACCGAACATTTGAGGCTTTATTAGTAATCACAAGTTTGTTTTTTGGCGAGATCTATCGCAAGCAAGAAAAACGGAGCAAACTGCTATTGTAAACTGTTGCCATTGTAATAGTCACTGGAAATAAAATGGAAGGGCATATTTTTATAAACCATCAAGTCACCTGCTTCTCGGATATTGAGAAGCATTTCAGGAAACAAGGAGAGAGGTTTAAAAAAATGCCTGGTTATTGGAAAACCCAACGGTCTGATTTACCCAATTTAATGGGAAACGATTCATATGCATTTCTGAAGGAAGGTGAAATATATCTAGGCATCAGCTTTCTTAGACTGTACATTAACAGAAAGTATCTTTTTTTGAGGTCAGCTGTCATCCTTTTTGAATTGGTCCCTGAACAGATCACAGAGCAGATGGAAAAGGCCATTCTGACATGACTCTTTGGCTTAATTATAGCATTACTAAGACAGCATATGGAGTTGGTATGTACTGTAGAATTTTATTCAGTAACTTCTTTTCCACAGAAATTCAGCAAAGCCTCATTTGGTTGTACTTGATCTTCAGTACGTGTATCTCAGTAATTGACTGATTTTTACCTGTATGTGAATAGGTTGAGATTTTGCACCAAATACAAACAATGCACATTCACTTTAATGTTTAAAGAAGGGTGGAATTAAGATTTGATATGTTGTACTAGCTCTTTTTCCAAACACCAGTATGTGTCCAGTTTCACTGTTTGCAACGGTAATTGTGTCAGGTCCCTTGAGCTACTTTATGAGTGCACAGAGATGAACAAAGTCATGCTGGTCTAGTGCACATAGGCTCTGTATTTTGCAGAATAAAACAAACAAACAAAAAAAAATCTCTTTTAAGGTGTGCTGCCACAACACAATTCATTGCCATGCAGCAGTGTCCGAGTCAGTTTAGGTACTATAACCATTTTAAAAGAACTCGCCACCTAAACGAATTATGCCTTCACTTGAGGAGTCTCTATACAGTGCTATGTTGCGTTGTGTAGACACATCCCCTTGGTTTGTAGGAGTTGTATGGTTTTCCAAGTCTGAACAACCTGGAAAGGTCCTTTATCATGGTGTGCCTTTGGCTCAACTTGGCGAGAAACCGTTTAGGAACTTGGCTCAGAGGAAAACTCCTGGAGACGGCTGATTTAATTCATTCAAAACCTCAGGGGATGATATACCTTTACTACAAATCTGCTCACCAAATCCACATCTGTATCATATGCATCACTGATGAACAATTTAAGCCTCGGAGGCATGGAGCACGAGAGTGAAATTTAGGTAACAGAAATGATAAAAGAGTCTATGAAACACCGTCTTGGGGAAAAAAACTCACTTCAAAAGCATTGCTTAAATCCATTTAGGACTATCCACATGCTTAAAGTGTTTAAATATTTTGCTGTCTTAGGACAACAAGAATGATATCTATGGAAAGCTGGTAAAAAATAATTTAACTTGTTCTGGGGAAACTTCAAAAAAGGATTCCCAGCCCATTCAACAGTCCTGAAGGGTGGGTGAAATGTCACCGCACGCTGTATCTTTGACACCCCCGCTTCAGTTGGCTTTAACAATAGTCTTTGTCTTTAATAAAGGGAAATTCAATTTGAACAGAATATCAAGAGGGGGAAAAGACAGCGAATGATGTCATCCCATGAAAAAAGCTTTTAAAAAGTTTTCACTCACCTGGAATTTAAATACCAAATGTAATAGGCTGTTTTAGCAAACTGCTACAATAACCTAAGATTTATTGGTCTTTAACTCAACCGCTTAAATTTGTAATCCTACTTAAAATAAATGAATGGCAGTGAATGGTTCATCAGCTGATTTCTATATAGGAAATGACCTTCATTAGGCAAATTGCCTAGGAGGTGCACTCCCCTCAGATGTCTTTGCAACCTGTCTACAGATAATTATATTTCATTTTAAGTATTTACAGATGTGGTGTGGAGCAAATTCCACAGATGAGAGCCCAGAATGTGTTGCCTTCAGCACCCATTATGGACCAAGACAGCATCCTGTAAGTAATATGATTTGAATCTAGAGCAAACACAGTTCTGCTACAGAGAGCAATCACAAGTAGGTAGAATTCATAACAGAACAGTGAGCAAGGAAAAGAAATGAAGAGAGGGAGGAAAGGAAAAAGCCGAAGGCTAGGTAAAGCATGAATTACCAATGTTCATGTTCTGATGAGCAAACCAGTTGCTAACAAGGCTCTCCCCTCAGTCTCACTGGGATCTAGTTAAAAGCATGGCCTCATCACTTTCTTAGTGCATGTAAGCCAGGATTTTAATATTCTCTCCATCTCAGCTAGATCTGTACAAAACCTTCATATATTATTATGGAGAAGAAACTCAAAAGGGCTCACTCTTGATTCATCCTGACAAGGCATAAATCACTTTGGCTACGCCATCTGCAAGTCCAAAATGGTATCTGTGGAATCTTTTTGAGGCTGGAGTCGCCTTTTGATGGGACAATATATTTAGGCCTTAAAGTTGATATGGCACCAACTAACCACAACTTGTACTCCCTCAGGATTATCAGGAATTCCCAATTCCATCCCACAAAGCTACATAATCTAAAAGCTGATTTTTGAAAATTTTGTAAGCAGGGATAGGATGTAACAATCCACACTTGAGTTGAAATAAAGCACTGCTTTTGGACCCAAGGGTGAATCACTGCCAGCTCTGGGTTCAACAATACTTATAAAATTTGGTGGCCCAAATAGAGCAACTTCTCAGGCCCAAATCTACCATTCTTGGTAGATTTGGGCCTATTCTTGGTAGATTTCATGGTAGATTTGCTGCGACTTTAGCCATGTCTGTACTAGTTTTGAAGCCTAATGTGACCCAATATATTTGAAGGTCCTTGCATTCAAAGTTTTGGTTTTTGTTCTATGTCTAGGGTTTTTTAACTGAGAGTTTTGTCAGGACTGACTTACTTACTATTGCAGTTAATCATGTTGAGGGGCTTAAAGGGAAGAGTCTAGAACAGGGGTGGGCAAAATGGTGGATCCAGCCAGTGGCCAGACTCCGTTTCCCAGCAACCCCTACCCATGTCACTGCACTCAGTTTCCATTGCAGTCGGGGCTGAGACCTTGCAGCAGTGACAATGTGGTCCGGAGCTGGGACAGAGTTGCGATCTTGCTGTCTGCATGCCCCGCCTGGGGTGGGTGGACAGTGGGTTACAGCTCTGCCCTGGCTCCAAACCACACTGTCACTGCCATAAG